AAAAACCACGGCTAGCCAAGTTTATGCCGTTTCACATGGTTTTCACCAAAAGACCAAAAACGAAAGGTGGTTTTTAACATGTTTTTGTTGGAGAACTATTTGGATATGCCCAGAAGTAAAAACCAATCATAAAATCTTAAAAACCACTTGATTGATTTGGGCACCAAAAACCAACACCGATAACCGGCACCGAATGCCGATAACCAACGCCGAAAAACAAAGGTTATGGTTTTTGAAAACTAATCATTTGGAAAACCTTTAAATGTGTCCAGAAGCATAAACCAAATATAAAAACCCAAAAACCATTTGGTTAAAATCAATGCCAATAACCAATGCCGAAAACCGAACGCCATAGCCGAACGCCGATAACCGATGGGTATGGTTTTGGTTAAGCAAGTACCATGGGTTTTAGAAACTTAAAAACTATTTATGAAAACACTAATTTGATGCATGAAAAACATATTTTGTTTTGAGCCATGACGTAGAGAAATTGAATGAGCTTGTTACAATAAAATCTAAGTTTTTAGAATACGTCTTCAAAGCGCCAATGTCGCCATCTTTAGCAACGTCAATGCCGTTCTTGTGCTTTTTGTTTCTTCAAAGAACTTTTTCTATCTTTTCATTTTGTTCCATGTTCCCGACGGTTTGTCAATATCAAAACCTAAACGGAAACAAACATTGTCATTAGCAAAATGTCAAAGTGAAAATGTTTTCCAACATACTCTGCTGTCACATCATCTCTAATATCCCTCCCCCAACTTCACCACCCTGTTTTAATAATTGTATTATCAAGGGGCAAATATGGAAAGTAACCAACATTCTATCATTTGCATAAAAACTCCATGAAATCTTCTTTGACAGGAATCCAAAGGGAAAGAGGGAGAATAAACTAACAAGGATCAGAAATAACCAGGTTCTGGAAGAAACTCAACTTATCAGGCCAGATGGAGAATACAAGGGGCCGGCCAATTAATTTCGACAAGAAAAAGCAAGAGGAGGCACCGGCAGTGGCAACAAACACTACAAGCGCTACCCCTTTTAATGACTTTGGAATTATTGTATGGGAATAGGGGTGGGGGACGGGTTTGAATGAGGGGTAGGATGTGGGTTGGCTGGAGTCGCCGTAGGTGACGGCGTAGGGTGGGGTGTGAACCCGGGGGGGACGGTGGGTGGTGGTTGATGAGGGGTGTGCGGTGAGGAGGCCACGTGAGCAGGGACGGTTGTTAACGACTCGGGAAAGAGTGGGAGAACCCCAAAGTAGGACGATGGAGAGGGTGGTGAGGACAAGTGAGCGTTGGGAAAAACGGATTCATTGAACTGAACATGACAAGAGATATAGACACGCTTTTTGGATGGATTATAACATCGGTATCCTTTGGATAGGTGCTCATACCCAAGGAAGACACATCGTTTGGAACGAGGTTGTAACTTGTGATCAATCTCATGACGGAAATGGGGATACACAAGACAACCAAAGACGCGAAGGTGAGAGTAGTCAGGCGGGGTATTATACAGAGCTTCAAATGGGGATAGATTATCAAGAGAGCGCTTTGGCATACGATTAATGAGATAATTTGCCGTTGCCAAAGCTTCAACCCAAAACGTAGCCGGTAGTGATGACGTGTAGAGGAGAGTAAGAACAGTCTCAATGAGATGACTGTGCTTGCGCTCAGCGACCCCATTCTGTTCGGGAGTATAAGGACAAGATTTATGATGAAGGACCCCTAAGTCTTGTAAAAACCGCCCAAATTTGTGGTTAACATACTCACGACCATTGTCAGTACGAAAAATTTTAATGGTTTTGCCAAATTGATTTTGAACCATAGATTGAAAAGTTTGAAAAGCACCAAAGGCCTCAGATTTGTGTTTAAGAGGATAGAGCCAACAAAATTTTGTATAATCATCCACAAAGTTAATATAGAAATGATACCCCCCAAAAGAAGGAACAGTAGTAGGTCCCCAAACATCAGAATGTATTAATTGAAAAGGTTCAGTGGTTACACTAGAAGATAAAGGAAACGGTAATTTATGCAACTTAGACATAGAACAAGACTCACATGGAAACATGTCTGACTCAAAATTAACACCTAATTTAGAAAAGAACAACTTTGTGATTTGAGACGACGGATGACCAAGCTGACAGTGCCATTGATGAGAAGTAGCGCACACGACATTGGCCACCACAGGAGATGCCGCAGAGATTGGGGAAACAGGAGACTTGACTGGAAGAGAGTATAGACCTTGCTCACATGGGCCTCTGTACATCACCTGATTCGTAAGGTTGTCCAGGATCGAAAAGTCCTTAGGGGTAAAAAGAATAGAACAATTATTGTCTGAGGTAAATTTATGGATATATAAGAGATGGGTATTCAAGGTAGGGACATGGAGTAGATTGGGGATGGTAAAGGTACCTGTTGGTGTGGTAACCTGTGCTGAGCCAACATTACAAATCGGTAAGGATTGTCCCGCAGCCGTAGAGACTGAGCTGGAGCCACAGTATGGATGAGAATTCTGTAACCTTGGGAAATCAGAGGTAACATGGGCAGTTGCACTAGAGTCTAAGTGCCAATTTGGATTGGATTCGGTAGAATATGCAGTATATAAAGCCTGAGGATTATGAGATTGTGCGGAGAAACCCGAGAAATCTTCATTGAACCGGTTCCAACATCGCAGTGCACTGTGATTAGATTTACCACAAATTTGACAGACTATGGTGTCACCACGAGATGGTCCTCGCTCGCGGCCATCATACCGCCCGCCAATACCACCAGACCTGCTGCCTTCGCTGGTGCGGCCACCACTGCCGGAGAACCTGCCAAACCCCCTGCCGCCTCCAAACCGACCGCGACCACGGCCACGCTGATGCGAAGAGTTGTCATGGGATGCGTAGAGAGCAGTATGTAAATCCGTGGAAGAGTTTGTGGTTGAACCAAGACTAAGTTTTTGTTCAAGCTGGATATTGAGTTCCTCAGATAATAGCCAAGAAGAAACGGTGTTGAATGTGAGACTGGCAAGATTAGTCTGTACGTTCTGTTTCAGAGGTCCATATTCAGATGCTAGACCCCGCATAACACTGAGAATGATATCTTGTTCAGGGATTGGTTCACGGGCAAGAGCGAGTGACGTAACAATTTTTAAGACTTCATCAAGATAACTTTGCATACTAGACTGTCCCTTACGAATATTGTGAAGCTGTTCTTTTAGTTGAAAAATATGCGTACGAGAAAGTGAGTTATACCGCAACCCGCCAGGAAGAGTGTCAAATACATGACGACTATCAGTTGACATGATCTACAAAAGCCGTCCGTAGGAGAAGAAAGAACAGGGTTCGGGCACAGAGAGGAGGGCCTGTGGCTATGACGGAACGTAGAGAAGAAGGTGCTCGATCACACGGCGGCGTGCGTCCACAGAGAGAAGCTGAGCGGAAATTTTTTTTTTTGGGTTTAGAACCGTGCTCTGATACCATAATGACTTTGGAATTATTGTATCTTTCCATTACATGAATATGAAACAATGCAAGGATATAAATACTTAAGACTCCAAAGGTAACAAGGAGTCACAAACAGTAGTCTCCTAATTATGCAATTACTAGGACTATTAATATATATGTCTAACACCTTTAAAGACTCCAAATAGAGCACCCGCAAGAAAAGACATGAAAATTGTCCCTGGGATCATAAACGTTTGCATAAAAATGTACACCACACAGTAGCCAAACAGGACCTGCATAGTGTAGTCACTCGTATAACTCTCCAGTTGATCCCTATAGAAATTAAGAACCAAAACAGAGGTCAATATACCCATAAAAGTTGAAACATGTGTTATGACTATGATATTCTCCATTCCCGCCATATAAAAGGGTGTCACTTTCATACAACGATTCCCTTCACTTTGTGTCAAGTTAGTTCATATATTTACTTCCTGATGGGTGTATTTCACCCATGACCAGTCAAAGGTCAGAACCAGAAAAATGACCGGTCAAAGAAGTCGAACATGAAAGGAAGTGATGAATCGTCAGTAAGAGGATAGAGGATTGATCGAAAAGTTGACCGAGAGACTAATCCAGCCTGGTTCACCATAACTTGTGGCTAATCCAGCCTCCCGAGAGACTCTCTCGAGCTACACTACTAACTCGTTAAGCTTACGGGTGCTTAACAAACCGTTACAACTTGAGAGTTCGAGTCCACGAACCTCAACGAATCCTTCAAGGGAAACAGTCCTTCCTTTGAATAAATCGAGAGAGATACTATCTCTCAACGTGTCTAAGAACACAAGTACACTCAAGAACGAGACTCTCTTATAGAGTAGATTATGAGTAAACTAAGTACGCTCAAGAACAACTCAATCTTCACACAAAAATGGCACTAGAAAGCTATGGAAAATGATGATATTTGAATGCAATGAAAGTATAGATGTTGTGAAGTGAATTGGTGAGAAAAGCAGACCCAAACACCCCTTTTTATAGTGCCAAAGAAGGCTCCAACGGACCAATGCATTAAAGGGGTGATTGGCTTGATTTATGGGATTGAAAAGATTTGGGATCTGTAGAATATTGGCTTCACATCGATGTTTAGACTCAACCATCGCTAGTAAGCCAATTTTTCTTCAGTTTTGAAGTCAACGGTCACCTACCCATCGATGGGTACAAGCTTCCCATCGCTGGGTGGGAGGTTGACTTCCAAACAAGGAAAGAATCAACCTTTAATGACCACCAACGGTCAAGCTTTCCCATCGATGGTATACCCTTACCATCGCTGGGTTCCCATCGATGGGATAGGTTTCCCATCGCTGGGTAAGGTCGTTCTGCCTTTTGTTAATATTGCACCAAGGCTTTAACAGCGATGGGTAGAACTCCCCATCGCTGTTTGGCATGGTTCTGGAAGTAGGTTTGGCTTAGGGACTGCTTATCTATCGATGGGAAGATCTTCCCATCGCTGGGTGGGTGGTTAGTCAAGAACCCATGGTTTTTGCCTTAACCACGGCCTAGCCAACCGATGCGAAACCCGACCGAAAAATTCAAAGTTCTCCAAAGTTAACCACGGCTAGCCAAGATTATGCTGTTTTGAATGATTTTTGTCAAACGACCAAAAGCGAAAGATGGTTTTCAAGGTGTTTTTGTTGGAGAACCGTTTAAATAAGCCAAAGAGTGAAAACCAATCAGAAAAAGTTGAAAACCACTTGGTTGGTTCGGACGCCAAAAACCAACGCCGAAAACCAAATGCCGAACGCCGGTTTCTGAAACCCGAACGCCGGATGGCTTGGTTTTTGGTTTGGGCGAACACCAAGTGTTTTTAATGTTCTAAACATGTTTGAAAAACATTTTTATGATTTAAGAAATGCAATGAAGGATTTTAGCCTAAAGAGCCAAGGTGTAAAGATTTGGTCGGTCTTGATCACAATGAAGACCGACTCAACGACACTAAGACTAAGGTCTTCGTTCTTGGTCTTCTTTTAGCTCTTGTTCTTGTCTTCCTTCTTCGCCTTGTACATTCAATGTTTGACTTGATCACGGCGGTTTGGCATTATCAAAACCTGTCATAAAAACAAACACGGCTTTAGTACGAAAACGTGACAAGCCCGTGTTTCAACAATTTCCCCCTTTTTGATAATGGCAAACGAGATGAGGTTATGCATATGAGGAAGACTTAGAGACTTAAAAAATGTTCCCCCTTAATAGTTGCCATTTTATTTTAAAAAACAATTCCCCCTCAATTTATGCATAACCTTGATATCTTCCCCCTTTTGACATTAACAAAAAGAATTAAAAGTAAACTTTAGATTTTAAAAGTGAACTTTTATTTCTTAAAAAAGGAAATGCGGAATACAACGGAATGGAAATAATAAAAAAAGACAATCATAGTAAGGAGGGAAAAGAAAGAAGAGTCTAGGCTGCGGCGTCCTCGTCCTCGGCGTCATCGTCTTCTTCGTCGTCCTCGATGTCCATGGCATCCCCGTCGACCGCGTCGTCAAAGTCGGCCTCGTTGGGGGAGGAGGACGGAGCGTATGAGTTGTCGTCCTCATCCTCGCCTTCAAAGTTTTGGCCGAGAATGGTGCTGTCAAATGGTGGCGGAACGTAGTTGACGCCACGGAAGTATGCCATCATGTCGTGGTGTTGGCGTTGCAACGTCCAATCCATTCGCTCGATTGACTGCCCCATGCCATCCACTGTGAGGGTTAGCCGATTTAGAGTATCGGTTATGGATTGCAACGATGCTCGGGCGGGAGCGGGGGCAGGGGCACGGGCTGGGGCACGGGCACGACTCGGTCCGGCGCCGCCTTGGTCTCCGAACTTCTTCCGGAAGGTGCTATCTTGGATGATCCACAGCTTTGTCATCTTCGTGTCCGGCCCGGCGATGTGGATGTCGGTAGAGACGATGAGATCCATGATGAGAAAGGCGTAAGGTAAGCTCCGCTCGTTGGTGATGGAGGCACAATCCGCCATGTGAATCATGACGTATTTTGCCCAATTGATTGAGGCGCCATGGGTGATAGCATGAACGGCCTTGAGATCCTAGTTGAAGAGGCACGTGTGGCTACCGTCCCGGGGGCGAAGAATCCGGGTGAGGATATAGAGTAGAAGACGCTTCTCCGGCGGGGCTGAGTGAACGGTTGGTGCGCCGCTGTGACGGACGAGGTTGGTGATTCCCAGCTCTCGGATGACCACCGCCTCGTTGTTGAGGATCCAATCATCGCCGCCATATGTTGCGATGTCGTCACCGCGGGTGGGCAGCCCTGCGACCCGAGCGAAGGTAACCAAATCAATCTCTATGTCGTAGAGATTGATGCTACTGCGAATGGTGTCCCCGTCCCGGCGGAGATTTGAGTAGAAAGCTCGGATGTAGGCGGGATTGTAGGATTGACGGCTTCTGGAGACGAACGACCACAGACCCGACTCTTTGAGTTGATTGTCGAGGTCGTGGTACCCCTTTTGTTGAGGGTACAGCTCCGGGAGCACGCGGGACGGAGAGATCGGGCGCTTGGCGAAGTATGTGAGAAACCGGGTGAGTTCCTCCTCCGACCCGAACTCCAAGAAGGATCCATCGAGGTAGCGGGGGCGCTGAGGTCTTAGCTTCGGCGTTGCCCTTCTTCTTGGAAGCCTTTGTCTTCTTTCCTCCGGCCATGATTGTGTTTATGAAGAACAAATAATAAAATTTGATTAGGAGATTGAATTTGGGTTGTGAATTTGTGATTAGGAATGATAAAACAAGGTGTGTATATATAGGGTAGGAGTGGAAACCGAAATAAGTTCAAAAAATATGACTGTTGGGCATTAAATTCGTTGCACAACGGTCAAAAAAATTTTGAATTGCAGTAGGCTTCCCAGCGATGGGTAAGAGTTCCCATCGATGGGAAGGGTGACACTGGAAAGCGAAGGAGAGAACAAGGCTGCCTTCCCAGCGATGGTAGAACTTACCCATCGATGGGAAGGTGGCTACTGGAAATCCGATAAAATGCTTTAAAAAAAATGGTGTCAAACACCCAGCGATGGGAGAAAGTTCCCATCGATGGGATGGGAGGTTCTGAAATTTTTTTTTTTTGATAAAAGTCCTTCACCCAGCGATGGGATAAAATACCCATCGATGGGTTAAGGTGTTCTGGAAATCCGTTAAGTATTTTTAAAAAATAGAGTCAATTACCCATCGATGGGAAGAAGCACCCATCGATGGGAAGTGGGGTTCTGAAAAAAATGACACTTCCCTCCCTGCGATGGTACAATCCACCCATCGCTGGTTCCCCCTGATTTCCAGAATTCTTCACTTCGAACCGTCCCTTCAAAAAAGAGTTAGAAAACCATCCGACGCTCAAGTTAGTAAACGTTCCAGTAACAATAAAAGAATGATAAAATGCACAAATTAGATCATCGTGGAGTCAAGGATTCCGAGTTCACTACGAATGCGGAAGAACGACTCTTTCTCTAAAGGTTTTGTGAAAATGTCGGCTAATTGGTTGTGTGTTTCAACAAACTCAATTTCGACATCACCTTTGAGAACATGATCTTTAATGAAATGGTGCCTAATGTCAATGTGTTTCGTCCTTGAATGAAGAACGGGGTTCTTCGTCAAGCTAATGGCGCTAGTATTGTCACAACGAAGAGGAACGTGACTGATACTAAGGCCATAGTCCACGAGTTGTTGCTTCATCCAAAGGATTTGAGCACAACAACTACCGGCGGCAACGTATTCTGCTTCGGTTGTGGATAACGCAACACTGACCTGTTTCTTGCTAAACCATGAAACTAAAGAACTACCAAGTAAGTGGCAAGTCCCACTCGTACTTTTGCGGTCCAATTTGCACCCGGCAAAGTCCGAGTCGGAGTAACCAACAAGATGACATGAAGAGCCTTTTGGATACCACAGTCCAACGTTAACCGTGCTTACAAGGTATTTCATGATCCGTTTCACCGCCGTTGAGTGCGATTCCTTCGGGCATGATTGATACCTTGCGCAAAGGCATACGCTAAACATGATATCCGGCCTACTAGCAGTAAGGTAGAGAAGGGATCCGATCATACCTCGATACTTTTTGACTTCAACTTCCTTACCTTTTTCGTCTTTGTCTAGGTGGTCGGACGTGCTCATCGGGGTCGCCATTGCTTTGGCGTTTTCCATTTCGAATCGTTTTAGGAGCTCCTTGCAGTACTTTGTTTGGCAAATAAATGTGCCATCTTTCATTTGCTTGACTTGGAGTCCCAAAAAGAATGTAAGCTCACCCATCATGGACATTTCAAATTCGCTTGTCATTAAGGTTGAGAATTCCTTGCACAAAGACTCGTTAGTAGCACCGAATATAATATCGTCTATATAAACTTTAACCAAAAGGATGTTATTGTTTTTACTCTTGATAAAAAGTGTAGTGTCAACCTTTCCCCCTTGGAAACCACTATCCAAAAGAAATTTACTCAAACGTTCGTACCAAGCACGTGGTGCTTGTTTAAGACCGTAGAGCGCTTTTTTTGAGTTTGAAGACGTGATCGGGAAACTCAAAGTCCTCAAACCCCGGGGCTGGTCAACATACACTTCCTCTTGAATAAAACCATTGAGGAAGGCACTCTTAACATCCATTTGATAAAGTTTAAAATCCATAGACGAAGCAAAAGCAAGAAGTAAACGAATAGCTTCTAAACGTGCTACAGGTGCATAAGTATCTTCGAAATCAATGCCTTCTTCTTGATTGTAGCCTTTAGCTACGAGCCTAGCTTTATTTCTAGTGATTATTCCATTTTCATCAAGTTTATTACGGAACACCCATTTCGTACCAATAACCGTACGATCATCGGGTCTTGGCACCAATTCCCAAACGTCATTTCGTTTGAATTTGTTTAGCTCCTCTTGCATAGCCAAGGTCCAATGTTCATCGTTTATTGCTTCGGAAATGGTTGTAGGTTCAATTTGAGAAACAAAAGCCATGTGTCCTACGGTGTCCCTAAGTGAGTTACGAGTACTTACCCCGCGGTTGATGCTGCCGATAACCTGATCAAGCGGATGGTTCTTGTTTGTTCTCCATGCAATAGGAAGCTCGGTTGCTTCTTCTTCTTCGTGTTCCTCTTGTTCTTCTTCTTCCTCTTGTCTTTCATCATCACCTTGGTTAGTTTCATGAGGTATTTCCTCAGTTTGTGGCTGTGTGTTGGTGTAAATGCCCGTGTTCTCCTCATAGTCATCAACGTGTATTCTCTCTAATGAATCTGCAAGGTCATCACAAATATCCTTTCTCGCCAAGCGAGGGTTATCTTTGGAAAATACAACGTGAGGAGACTCCTCAATAGTCAAGGTTTGGCTTTCTCCCTTTGTATAGTTCATAGGGCGTTTTCATGAGTATCGGTCGAATGACAGCTCGGTTTAACACGTAGCTCGCGGTACTCACGGCATTCACCCAAAAATACTTAGGGATTTTTGCCTCATTGATCATAGTTCTAGCCATCTCTTCGAGACATCTATTTTTACGTTCCACCACTCCATTTTGTTGTGGTGTACGTGGGGCTGAGAAGTTATGATCAATGCCAAGTTCGTCACACAAATCTGAAAAGAGATTTCATTCGAACTCTCCCCCATGGTCGCTTCTTATGGCTACTATGGTTGTTTCTTTTTCATTTTGAACTTTCTTTAAGAAATTTTTGAAAACATGAAATGCCTCACTTTTATGAGTTAGAAACAAGGTCCATGTAAACCTAGAGTAGTCATCGACAATCACAAACGCAAAGTAATTGCCACCAAAACTTTTCGTTCTAGAAGGACCAAAGAGATCCATGTGCAAAAGTTGAAGCGGTCTAGACGTTGAAACAACGTTTTTAGACTTAAACGAAGCCCGAACTTGCTTCCCCTTTTGACATGCATCACATATGGTGTCTTTTTCAAACTTAAGTTTTGGGATGCCAATTACTAAGTCTTGTGAAACCAATTTGTTCAAAAGGTTCATGTTCATATGAGCTACCCTTCGGTGCCATAGCCAAGTGTCTTCCTCTTTACTCATGAGGCACTTAGCAAAGCCGGAAGGAGATTTGTCTAAGTTAACCATATAAATGTTATCGATTCTATCACCACGTAGAATGACCTTATTGTCACTAAGGCGTTCTACAGTGCATGATTTTGAATCGAAGGTCACACGGTTTCCCTTGTCACATAATTGACTTATGCTCAAGAGATTGTGTTTAAGACCTTT